GGCTCAGTAGAATAAGCGCTTGCCTGGCAAGCTGAAGGGCCTGAGTTCAATCCCTGGTTCTGCAAAAAAAAAAAAAAAAAGAATATTTAAAAGGCTTGGCAGGAAAAAAAAAAAAGGCTTGGCAGGGTTAGAGGTGTAGCTCAGTGGCACAGTGCCTGCCAGGCAAGTGCAAGGTACAGAGTTCAATGCCCAGTACAAAAATAAATAAATAAATAAATAAATAAATAAATAAATAAATGGTTTGGGGATGCAGTTCAGTGCAGAGACCCTGGGTTCAGTCCCCAGTATGAGAGAGAGAGTTGTAAATAGCTGAAATAGGAAGAAAGGGAGCTTGAGTTGTGAACAGCTGAAATAGGGAGAAAGCATTGGCATTGGAATGAGAAGATAGGGTTTTGGGTTGTTGACTGACACCAGCTGATAACTTAAGGCAACTCACATGGACTGTCTAAATCCTAGCTTTGTTATTCATAAAAATGGGATAACATACATCTATAGATCAGCAGATGTCTAAAACTGGTATAAAAACTTGGTTTTTTAAGAAGGGGGTTTAAATATATAAAAGCTTGGAAATTCAAGTGTTACGTAAAGGCTATAGCACAGCATTATTGCCCTCGAAATATTGGTAGGTTTTTATTAGCAAGCTTTCCATTTACAGTCTCTTCTTTACTACCTGGACATGTGGAACACGTACACTTAGACACATACGTGTACATAGACCCTGACATATATTTAAGAAGTGTGGGGGCTGGTGAGATGGCTCAGTGGTCTAAAGCACCTACTTGGAACAGGCTTGGGAAAGCACAGGTACCGTGGTTCGATCCCCCAGCACCACATGCCAGCCAGCCCCGCCCCCTGGTGGGCTGAGCTGGCCACACACACACACACACACAATAAATAAATAAATAAATGTTTAAAATTAAGAAAAAAGAAGAAGTGTGCTTAGAAGCTCTGAAGTTAGACAAACCTGAATAAGAAGCTCAACTCAGCACCTGACCAGTGGTATGAATTAGATCTACTTATTTAAATTTGAAACATATTCCTCCTCTCCAAAGTTAACTTTTGTGAAGATTAAATGTATGTATTTGATATAATGCTTGGCTCATAGAAATACTTCATGTAAGCATCGAAGCCAGACTTCATACATGCTATGCAAACAACTGTACCAGAGTTACTTCTCCAATCTTTTTCAGAATTTTATTTTCAGACCGTCTCATTAAGTTGCACACGCTGGCCTTAAATTTGCAGTCCTCCTGCCCCAGCTTCCATATAGTATAGGCATAGAGCATAGGCATACACTGTGACACCCAGCTCATAGAAAGCTTTTGATAAATATTAGCTATTTATTAGTTTCATGTTTATGTGTATTTCTGGAGTCCGAACACAGGAATTGCACAAGGTAGGCAAACATACTACCATTCTGCTCTATCTCCAGTTCAGCAATTATCATCGTTTATTTTAATATTGTACAGAACGTTGTAAAAGTTGATTTAAGAAATCAAAAGGTTAAGGGGCCAGGGAGCTAGCTCAGTAGAATAAGCGTTTGCCTGGGAAGTGCAAGGGCCTGAGTTCAATACCT